GATTTATGGTATTTAAGGTCTTCATAAATTTGGTGGTGGACTAACTTGTTTAACTTTGAGAACAAAATTACTCATCCGTGGAGCACATATTTACTTGTAATTAAAATACTGGAATTAAATGACAGTGTAGATAGTTTAGTTTATTTGATACAGTTCTAGACTACTGGTATTACTAACTGACATTTGATTTTAAAGTGTTTAGATTTCTTTTTTTTTTTTTTTGATCTGATTTCTTTTTTTTTTTTTTTAATTTATTTATTATTATTATACTTTAAGTTGTAGGGTACATGTGCATAACGTGCAGGTTTGTTACATATGTATACTTGTGCCATGTTGGTGTGCTGCACCCATCAACTTGTCATTTACATCAGGTATAACTCCCAATGCAATCCCTCCCCTCTCCCCCCATAGATTTCATTTAAGTATTAGTAAAACTAAATCTTTAACTCAAAAATTCAAAAGCACATTATAAAGCACCCTTGAGCTCTACTGGCTCTGGTTATTTGACCTTGGTAACCTCTGCCCTAGAGCTCTTAGGCTTTTTGTGCCTTCCTGCCTTCTTTAGTCCCCTGATGGACACTTTGGGGACACTGTCTCTGGGCAGTGGGCCCCAAGTAGCAGCAGTTGTATCTTTCTTCCGACAAACAGAGGAAGAAGTGGCCGTGCCAGGGTTATTCTCCCAGCAGAGAGGTCTGGCCAGGTTTATGCACAGGCATTATTGTTTTTATTTTGAGCATGTGCAGGAGAAAGGGGTGGGTAGTTGCAGAAGCTGAGTGTTTAAGAGGGCTAGGGCAAGAAGAACTTGTACAGATAGTGACAGGGACATGGGGAAGGCAGGGAGGGTAGAGGGATTAAAGCCAAGAAGGAGTAATGAGGTGCTGGCCAATATGTGAGACAGATGTAAAAGGCCAGTATTTTGGTACATGGATACCTTGTTGAATTGCACTTGCCTTTATTGCACTTTACAGATATTGCAATTTTTACAAATTAAAGGTTAATGGCAACCATGTGTCAAGCAAGTCTATGGGCACCGTTTTTCCATCAGCATGTGCTGACTTCATGTCTATCACATACTGGTAATTCTCACAAGATTTCAAACTTATCATTATTATATTTCTTGTGGTGCTCTATAATCAGTGATCTTTTACATTACTGTTGTAATTGTTTTAAGTGCCATGAATGACACCCATATAAGATGACGAACTTAATGGATAAATGTTGAGTGACTTCTGACTGCTTCACCGACCAGCTATTCCTGTCATTCTTCCTCTCCTTGGGCCTCCCTAGTCCCTGAGACACAGCAGTATTGAAATTAGGCCAATTGATAACCCTATAGTGACTTCTAAGTGTTCAACTGAGAGAAGGAGTCATAGGTCTCTCACTTTAAAGCAAAAGCTAGAAATGATTAAGCTTAGTGGGAAAGTGTGTTAGAAGCTGAGAAAGGCTGAAAGCTTGGCCTCTTGCGCCAGTTAGCAAAAGTGCTAATTCAGTGAACACATGAATGATAAGAGAGAAACAGCCTTATTGTTTTTTTTTTTTTTTTTTTTTTTGAGACGGAGTCTTGCTCTGTCCCCCAGGCTGGAGTGCAGTGGCGCGATCTCAGCTCACTGCAAGCTCCGCCTCCTGGGTTTACGCCATTCTCCTGCCTCAGCCTCCCGAGTAGCTGGGACTACAGGCGCCCGCTACCTCGCCCGGCTAGTTTTTTTGTATTTTTAGTAGAGACGGGGTTTCACCGTGTTAGCCAGGATGGTCTCGATCTCCTGACCTTGTGATCCGCCCGCCTCGGCCTCCCAAAGTGCTGGGATTACAGGCTTGAGCCACCGCGCCCGGCATGCCTTATTGTTAATGTAGAGAAAGTTTTAGTGGCCTGAATAGAAGAGCAAACAAACCACAACATTCACTTAAGCAAAAGCCTAATCCAGGGTGAGACTCTAGCCCTCTTCAATTCTATGAAGACTTGAGAAAGATGTGGAAGTTTCAGAAGAAAAGTTTGAAGCTAGCAGAAGTTGGTTCATGAGATTTAAGGAAAGCAGCTGCCTCCATAACATAAAAGTGTAAGATGAAAGCAGCAGTGCTAATGTAGAAGCTACAGCAAATTGTCTAGCTAAGATCATTGAATGAACAGATCATTAAAGAACAGATTCTTGATGTAGATGAAACAGTTTTCTATTGGAAGAAGATGCCATCTAAGACTTTCATAGCTAGAGAGAAGTCAACACCTGGCTTTGAAGCTTCAAAGGACAGGCTGACTGTTTTTAGGGACTAATGCAACTGGTGACTGTAAGTTAAAGCCAGTGCTCACTTGCCATTCCCCAAATCCTAGGGCCCTTAAGAATTGTACTAAATCTACTCTGCCTGTGTTCTATAAATGGAACAGCAAAGCCTGGATGACAGCACATGTGTATATAGCATAGTTTACTGAATATTTTAGGACCACTGTTGAGAACTTCTGCTCAGGAAAAAAGATGCCTTTCAAAATATTCCTGCTTATTAATAATGCATCTGATCACCCGAGAGTGCTGATGGAAATTAATGTTGTTTTCATGCCTGCTAAGACAACATCCGTTCTGCAGCCCATGGATCAAGGGGTAATTTTGACTTTCTTGTCTCATTATTTAAGAAATAAGGCTATAGCTACCACAAATAGTGATTTTCTCTGATGGATCTGGGCAAAATAAATTGAAAACCTTCCAGAGAAAGGATTCACCATTCTAGATGCCATAAAACATTCCTGATTCACAGGAAGAGGTCAAAATATCAACATGAACAAGAACTTGGAAGAAGTTGATTTTAACCCTCATGGATGACTTTGAGAGGTTCAAGACTTCAATGGAGAAAGTAACTACAGATGTGGTGGAAATCACAAGAGATCTAGATTTAGAAGTGGAGCCTGAAGATGTGACCGAATTGCTGCCATCTCATGATAAAACTTGAGTGGATAAGGAGTTGCTTCTTATGGATGAGCAAAGAAAGTGGTATTATGGAATGGAATCCACTCCTGGTGAAGATGCTGTGAACATTGTTTGACAACAAAGGATTTAGACTATTACGTAAACTTAGTTGATAAAGTAGCAGCAAGGTTTGAGAAGACTGACTCCCATTTTGAAAGAAGTTCTACCAGGGGTAAATGCTGTCAAACACCATTGTATGCTGCAGAGAAATCTTTCATGAAAGAGTTGATTGATGCAGCAAACTTTGTTGTTATCCTATTGTAATAAATTGCCATAGCCACCCCAGCCTTCAGCAACTACCACCCTGATCAGTCAGCAGCCATCAACATCAAGGCAAGACCCTCCCCCTGCAAAAGTTTAGGACCTACTGAAGGCTCAGATGATTATTAGCATTTTTTAGCAATAAAATATTTTTAATTAAGATATGTACATTGGTTTTTTAGCCATAATGCTATTGCACGCCTAATAGACTACAATATAGTGTAAAATAACTTTTCTATGTACTGGGAAACCAAAACATTTGTGTGACTTGCTTTATTGCAATATTCGCTTTATCACAGTGATCTGGAATAGAACTTGCAATATCGCCAAGGTATGCCAGTACTTAAAAATAGCACAGAATAGCAAAAACTAATAAAACCAATAAAAACAAAGCGCAAAAACGAATATTACAGCTATTAATATTAGTATAAACATCTATTCTTACCTATGTATTAATCACTGGTGTTATGTACAAAAACTATTGATTTTTTTGGTGTGTAGTACCACAAATTCTGATAGGTTTTCAGTAGATTTTTCTGAGTATTCTAGATAGATGTCTATTGTCTACATATAATGAAAAATAGTTCTTTTTTTTCCTTATAGTTTTACCAGCTAAATATCTTGTCTTGGCCAGAAACTTCTAGGGAAATATTAAATAATAGTGCTAACTGGCATCTATTTTATTCCTTTTGGAAATGCCAAATATATATTATGAGATTTGAAAGGTTTTTTGATTTGTTTCTATCATGTTAAATGTCCTTCCATTTATAGTTTAAGAATCAGTATCAGGAGTAGATGCTGAATTCACATGAAATGTTCCTTCAATTTTTATTCATGTGATAGATTTTCCTAATATTACAGCTTCACTATATAAAATCCTTAGAACAAACTATATTTGCTCTTGGTGGACTATTTTTAATGTAAGTTAATATTTTGTTGAGCATCTTTGCACCTATGTTTTTAAGTGAGATTAGTTTATATAGTTGTGGGTAGAGGGCCAGTGCTATCTTTAATTTTTTGTTTTAGCTTTAGAATTATGCTTACATTGTAAGCTTTGCCTGCCCACCTGTCTTCCTTCACTTATTTCTGTCTTTTGGTATGTTCCAGAATAATTTATATAGCATTAGAGTGAGCCTTTTCCTCAAAGCACTGTGTAAAGCCATCTTCTAGAGTTTGGTTGTTGGCCAGGCGTGGTGGCTAGCCCTGGTAATCCCAGCACTTTGAGAGGCTGAGGTAGGAGGATTGCTTGAGCCTAAGAGTTTGAGACTAGCCTGGGCAACATAGTGAGACAAAACAATTTAAAAATCAGCCAGGCGTGATGTGGCATGTGCCTGTAGTCCCAGGTACTCAGGAGGCTAAGGTGGAAGGCTGCAAGGAGTAGTGATTGTGCCATTGCATTCCAACCTGGGCAACAGCGAGACCGTGTTTCAAAAAAATATAAAAATAAAAATAGAGTTTGGTTATCTTTGTTGGTAGTTTTTATTTCTGTACTTATTGGGAGTGGGGAGCTGCAAAGGTCATGATCTTTTGATTTTCTGTTTCTTGGTTTAATTTGGTATTCTCATTTTAAGAAGCTTTTCTATCTCACTTTTTTTAAAGATGAGTAGGAAAAAATAGATTAGGATTTTTTTTCTTTTTTGTCTTTTATAAGTTTTGAATCATTAGAAAATGCTTAGCAGTCGAAACGTTCTTTATTAATCTTTATGAAAGTTAGTAAACTTTGGCCTTTTCTTAGATACATGTCAGAGAGCAAAGCATATTCTAGCTAATACCTTGTGCTTCTTACAGAGATCAGCAGGCAAAATAAGCTCATTCAAGAAAAAAAGGATAACTTGTTAAAATTGATTGCTGAAGTAAAAGGCAAAAAGCAGGAATTGGAAGTACTGACTGCAAATATCCAGGATCTTAAGGAAGAATATTCTAGGAAGAAGGAAAGTAAGTTTCCTGTTGTAAACATACTGATCTAAAATGGAAAGTGGTGACGGTTCACCATTATTAAGTACATCTTGCCTGTTCAAATTCATTGCTAAAAATGGATTACAGTACCTCAGGGCATAACCAGCCACTCATCTCTGCAAGATGTCATTAAAGTTAGCTAACTGTGTTTTATTTCCTTAACTTAAAGGGCCTTCTCTTGTGATTTTTAATATAATCAGTAATAATGAAATTGATATGAGGTTTTATTTATTTATTTTTATTTTTATTTTTCCTGAGACAGAGTTTCACTCTTGTTGCCCAGGCTGGAGTGCAATGGCACGATCTTGACTCAGTGCAACCTCCACCTCCCAGGTTCAAGCAATTCTCCTGCCAAAGCCTCCCGAGTATCTGGGATTACAGGCACCTGCCACCACACCTGGCTAATTTTTGTATTTTTAGTAGAGACAGGGTTTTCACCATGTTGGCCAGGTTGGTCTTGTACTCCTGACCTCAGGTGATCCACCTGCCTCAGCCTCCCAAAGTGCTGGGATTACAGGCGTGAGCCACCATACCCGGCTGATAAAAGGTTTTAATTAAGCAGAGTGAGAAGTGGTGTCCCTAAATAAAATTTGCTTTGGACAAGCCATAGTGTACTTAATGCAACAAATATTTATTGACCATACATTCTCTGCTAGGTAATATTAAGTGCTCTTTTTATGCTGCAAAATCTCTTTTGTATAAAGAACTTTCATATTCAGATGAATGCATCTTTTAGAAAGGAGCCTTGTTTGCTCACAAACTAGGTAATCTATTCTTCAAATCTTCTGAAAATAGCAAAGTTTGTTTTGTTAATGCTTTTTCATGTGGAGTTCTTAACCAAGTCTAAATTGTGAAATTATTTTTCTCATTACTTAGGGACTATTGTGCTACTTTAAAGTATACTTAGGGACTATTGTACTAACTTAAAAAAAAAAGAAAAAGAAAAAACTTTTTTTTTCATGAAATAAGGCTGACCTCTTATAAGAAATAGTTACACTTAAAGGAATAGAACATTTTCCCATGAAGCAATTGGTTATCTAGAAAAAGCACAATAGTATAAATGAAGTCTGTTTATTTCTATGCCAGCCATCCGAATCCCTGGCCTATTTATTTATGCTACTACATAATAAAGCAAGACAAGGCTTATTCTTCTCACTATCTGTATACATTTTCTTGGGCAGTTTTTCCTTCCAACTTGAATGAACAAAAACTTCTTTTAGCTAACTGGTAGATATAGAAACAATAAATGAAAGCAGATTTATAGGCTTGGCATCATTTTATAGTCGATTTTAAGTTTAAAAAATTAACTCAGCATTAATTTACTATTTAAAACATTTAATATGTGTGTGTTTTTTAATCACAGCTATTTCTACTGCTAATAAAGCGAATGCAGAGAGGTTGAAAAGGCTGCAGAAATCTGCAGACTTGTATAAAGATCGACTTGGACTAGAAATTCGAAAAATTTATGGTAAGTTTGTTAATATAAATAAAACACAGGAGATTAGAAAAGTATGTCTTTTCTTAAATAGAGGAGAATTTAAAAAATGTTTTCAACTAAAATGATGACATTAACTTTTTAGAAAATAGGAAAAAATTATAATTTTTAAATTATTCTAACATAGTTACTGATGCTCTAGTTATTTATCATTCAGTATTTTAATAAATGTATTTTTGGCAGGATTGTCAACATGCAAATAATTTTTGTGGTTCCTATCAACATTGTATTATGAGCATTTCCTCAGTTGCTATAGCCTTCATAATGGTAATTTTTAAATAGTGGTATAATAATTCATTCTATTCATATAGCATAGTTTATTCAACCATTTATCTATTGTTTAACACATATTTTGCTTCTACCAACATTTGGAATCTGCCAGTTTTTTCAGTTTTAGAAATACAGGTATCCCCCCTTATTCACGGTTTCTGTTACCTATGTTCAGCCATGGTCTGACAATATTAAATGGATGAGTATAGTACAATAAGATATTTTGAGAGGGAGAGAAGCCACATTCAGATAACTATAACTTTTATTATAGTATGTTGTTCTAATTGTTCTATTTTATTATTAGTTGTTATTAATCTCTTCCTGTGCCTAATTTACAACTTAAACTTTATCATAGGTACGTATGTATAGGAAAAAACATAGTATGGACAGTCCCTGACTTACGATAGTTCAACTTACAATTTTTTGACTTTATAATCAGTGTATCAGGGTGGTAAGTGCATTTTTGCCCTACAAGGTTTTTGACTTTTGATGTGTTTATTGGCACATAATGCCATTGTAAGTCAAGGAGCATCTGTTTACATAGGGTTTGGTACTATCTGTGGTTTCAGGCATCTGTTGAGGGTCTTGGAATGTATTTCTCCCTGGTGGGTAAAGGGGGACTATTGTAAACCGGTGAGCATTGACTTTCCTGTTTTCTTTGTGTGGTTTTTCATAGTATTGTTTCCCAGAGAGGAATTGCTAGGCTAAAACACATGAATATTTTGATGCCTGTTGCATGTATATCACATGTACATCGCTAATGTACGCCAATGTCTGTTGTGTCTGGGCTTCCCAAGATCACTCTTAGCTTTGGTGATTCACTAGAAGGAATTAGAATATAGTCATATTCATGGCTAAGATTTACTGCAGCAAAAGGATACAGAACAGAATCAGCAAAGAAACAATAGCACATGGAGCAAAGTCTACAGGAAACCTGGCACAAGCTTTCAAGACTCCTAACCCAGTACAGTCAAACAGGATGTGCGAATTCCTTCAGCATCAAATTGCGACAACACATGTGAAGTGTTGTCTACCAGGAAGCTCATTAGAGGCTCTGGAAGCTTGTACCTGGTTCTCCTTGGACTGTACCCCATGTACCATTTCCCTTTGCTGATTTTGTTATATCCTTTTGCTGTAATAAACCATAGCCCTGAGTATGGCCATATGCTGCTGAGTGAATCCTGTGAGTTCTCCTAGTGAATCATAAAAAAGACCACAGCTGCCAAGTTCATTCCATTTTATGGCTGAACAATGTTCCATTGTATGTATATACTATATCCATTCATCTGTTGGTGGACACTGGGTTATTTCCACTTTTGGGCTACTATGAATAATGCTGCTATGAACATTGGCATACAGTTATCTACTTGAATCTGTTTTCAATTCTTTTGGATATATACTTAGGAGTGGAATTGCTGGGTCATATTGTAATTCTATATTTAAACTTTTTGAGGATCTGCCAAAGTGTTTTTCACAGTGGCTGTACCATTTTACATTTCTACCAGCAATGTACTAGGGTTCCAGTTTCTCCACATCCTCACCAACACGGTTATTTTCCATTTATTTATTTGCCATCCTACTGGGTATGAAATGGTATCTCATTGTAGTTTCGGCTTGCATTTACATAATGACTAATGATGTTGAACATCTTTTCAGGTACTTAATGGGCATTTTTATATATTCTTTGGAGAAATGTTCTTTCAGGTGTTTTGCCCATTGTTGAATTGGGTGGTTTTTAGTTTTGTAGGAGTTTTAAATACATTCTATGTATTCAACCTTTATCAGATAAATGATTTGCAAATATTTTCTCCCATTCTTTAGGTTGTCTTTTCCTTCTCTTGATAGTGTTCTTTGAAGGACAAAAGTTTTTAATTTTAACAAAGTCCAATTTATCTAGCTTTTCTTTTGTTGACTGTATTTTTGATGTCATATTGAAACTATAATATATTTTAAAATGAATTTGTAACTTCTGCATTTGGAAATGTTGGTTACGTGACTGTACATGCTTAGCAGTGCAGATATTGATTCAAGATGGAGTAAGAAAGGGTATCGCTATTGAAAGCTTTGACACACTAAATAGTTCGATCTCTTTTCAGGTGAGAAATTGCAGTTTATATTCACTAATATTGACCCTAAGAATCCTGAGAGCCCATTTATGTTTTCCCTGCATCTAAATGAAGCAAGGGACTATGAAGGTATGTACTAATATCTCCTAACTGGTATTTAAGATTGGCATTCCAAAATATTATTTCAATCAGAATATAAAGTAATATGGAGGAAAGCAATAGCTCCAGACTCTATTGCTTCCTTTTTCAGTCTTGCTTCTTGGGTTATAGTCTTCTAAAGGAAGTGAATATAGTCTTGATTTATAGATATTGTCTAGGATCCTTAATAAGTAGCATCTGTTCAGGATGGCACAGTGCCAGAGTGTCTGAAAAATCTAAAAATCACTGCATTCATGTGCAAATATGAATTTTCCTTTTAGATAACTTTTTTAAAAACTGAAGCTTTAAAGAATATGGCTGCTTAAATGTGAATATTAGAACTTATCCAAGTAGATCACTTTAAAGTCACATGTTAAATCACCAGAATTTAACAATTTATTTTCCCAAAAATACATTTTTGAAAAACTATTTCATCCTGCAAATCTCACCCATTGATAATAAAGGTTAGTTACTGATTCTGCAGCTGGCCAAAAGGCCTTTGATTTATAAGGAATATATATCTTTGATAATAATGTGAACAAGAAGGGAATAGAAATATGTTTATCTCTTGTTTATTCTTCTAATGCCCCTGTACAAGTAATCCTTAATTTATTGGAATTCATAAAAATGGTTCTCAGCTCATTACACCTGTGCTATCATCTTAAAGCCTTTGTAGCTGACAGACACTCAGGTGAACTGCTGAGCTAGCATAGCCCTGTGCCCTGGTGGCTCAGTTCCTGTTCCTAGGGAATTTATATTTTGAGAATCTGATTCATATACAGATGTTTGGGTTTTTTTCTCTCTACATAAATATCTTCCAATCTAATTAGTGCTAGATTTTAAAAAGCAAGCCCCCAAAACCTCTTATCTAGCTTTTCAATTTTCTCTAAATTGGATATTCTCTTATGGTATAATCTGATAGTACATGATAGTATATTACAATAGAATATACAGGATACATTTTGGACCAGATGCCCTTTGCTGTTGTTTCTCTGCTGTGGTCATGGACCTTGTTTCCTAAGCAGTCTGTACCCGAGAGCTGGAAATCTGATAATGGGTGAATTTCTTTTCCTTTGACCACTTTCACTGGAGACTTGTCCCAGTGTACCAGGTGGTACAACTACATACAAGAATAATACTGTTATTTGTGACTTTGAGTCTCATTTGATTAATAGCCCCTGTAAATACCACTCTTGGAATAGCAACCACATTTTCTAATGCCTGCCATTTCACTTGGAAAATTCTAGATATTTCTTTCATAATTGTAAATTATTAAGGCTAGGCACTGAAAATTGTTCTTTTTTCAGGCTGGGCATGGTGGCTCACGCCTGTAATTCCAGCACTTTGGGAGGCAAAGGCGGGCGGATCACTTGAGGTCAGGAGTTCAAGACCAGCCTGGGCAGCATGGCGAAACCCTGTCTCTACTAAAAATATATAAGTTAGCTGCATATACATGTTACCTGTAATCCCAGCTACTCAGAAAGCTGAGGCAAGAAAATTGCTTGAACCCAGGAGACGGAGGTTGCAGTGAGCTGAGATCGCACCACTGCACTTCCAGGCTTGGTGACAAATCAAGACTCTGTCTCAAAAAAAAAAAGAACAATTTTTTTTTTTTTTTCAAATCCAGTGGTCAGAAATGAAAAGTCAGACCAAAGTTTTGCAGATAAAAATAACTTAACAGTTTTAAAAAAAAGTTTAAATAGTTAAAATATATAGGTTTAAGATGATGGGCAGGGTCATTCTGCATCACTAAACTCTCAATCCTTGAGTGCCATCTGTTTAAATTTAAAGCAAGATTATAGTACTTCAGATTTGAATATTTAGAGATTAAATGAAGGAAAGATCCAAAAGATAGTTGGCATGTGAAAATCAAGTGTATCCTTTTTTGCTCAAAGAATTTCATTAAGATGGAATTGACATTCAAACCAGATGAGAGCATCTAAATTAGAAACACTTCTCTGCCATAAAAAATCTATTCTAATTGTCTTTGATTTTTTTTTTTTTTTCCCTAGTGTCAGATAGTGCCCCTCATCTTGAGGGCCTAGCAGAATTTCAAGAGAATGTAAGGAAGACCAACAATTTTTCAGCTTTTCTTGCCAATGTTCGGAAAGCTTTTACTGCCACGGTTTATAATTAAGGTACAAATAGTGTATATAAAAATGGTTTATTTTTCTTGTCTATTTTGTGTTTCTTTTTAAAAGAATTCTCATTATCTGCTGTCTGCCTGTAATTCTTTGGTATTTTTGTAACATTCTGTGTGGCATACTTCTTTCAATCACAGTAGTCCATCCTTATCTGCAGTTTTGCTTTTTACAGTTCTAGTTACCCACAGTCAACTGTGGTCCAAAAATATTAAATGGGTAGAATGCAGTACAAGACATTTTGAGAGAAAGAAACATTTCATATACATAACTTTTATTACTGTATGTTGTTACAATTGTTCTATTTTATTACTTATTGTTGTTAACCTCTTACTGTGCCTAATTTGTAAATAAAGCTTTATCATAGATATTTATGTATGGGGAAAAAGCAGTCTTTATCGGATTTAGCACTACCTAAGGTTTCAGACATCTACTGGGAGTCTTTTAACATCCCCCACGGGTAAGGGAGAACTACTGTATTTTAATTAAAATCTTAGGGAAACATATAAAGTAAAATATGTTCTTTTAATTAATGAAAGATAATTAGTTTACTACTTTTTTTTTTTCCTGTAAATGTCAGGCATGAGTAACTTAGGCTAGCACTGGGAATGGAAATTTGTTCAGCCTGCACTGGGTTTCAGTGGTCTCCAAGCTTTTGTACCACTTAATATGGACTCTCAATATTAAAAAATTAAAAGGACGGGTCCAACCTAAGTTTGACAGTTTTTAACATGTACTTGGCAAAATAAACTCTACTATCTTACTATCAACCTAATGTCAAAAAAGAAAGAATATTTTTACCTTACACCAAGAGAGATCTATAATTAGAATAAAGGACGATCCTTCACATCAGAAGAAAGTTGGCAGCATTTTACTAGGATATAGTTTTGAAAATCTAATTGTAGAAATTTATAAACAGTTTCCATTCTGTAATGTTTGCCATTTAATTGTGGTCTGGATATAAGTTTGTCATCTTGGGAGTCTGTTCACCACAGATTAGAGTTCAAATGTCAACTTATTCTAGGACTTTTTTTTTTGTCCTCATCCTTTCTGTGTAAATTTGATGGCATTTAAGTATGCTAGCTATAGTGAAAGCTACATAATACTGTTCCAGTATATCGTGAGCACACCTAGAAACCATAGAACAATGCCTTCCATGCCTTCAGTTGCTTCTCCTGCCTTCTCCCTGAATAATCTGGGGGAAAATTCAACTTGTCGCCCAGTTAGTGAGAGGAGGAAGGGAGTTTCAGAGCAGCCTCTCTCAGTGGCCGCTGTAGGGACAGAAAGATGTGATACCTTTCCTCATCCATCATAAGGGTCACAACCAACACTCCTATAGCAAAAGACAGGTTAACAAGAGAAAAACACAACAAATGTATTTAATCCAAGTTTTATGTGACATGGGAGCCTTCGGAAATGAAGACTTAAATATGCAGGTAAAACTGTTTTTATGCTTATGTTTGAGGAAGAATGGAAGAATGGACAGCCATGTAGAAACGTGATTGGATGAACAGGTGTGATCTAGTGGTAATAAACTGAAGAAACCTTCAAGGCCTGTCTGTTCAGGTCTTTCTTGGGGTCTTTCTGTGTAGCTTTCCTTCTTCCTGGGCGTGGGGCAGGACCCTTATCGAAGGAGGGTCTTAGGACATAGTAAGGTGGGGGAAAGTTGGAATAATATTTCTAGGTTTTACAACTTATTTAGAGAAGAGAGGAGCAAGAAGCAGGAAGGCAGGAAAAGGTCAGAGACCTTGGTTCTGATGCTGCTTCTGAGGCCTTCTAATCTCTCTTAGTTTAAAGTACTTACTATGCTAAAGCACCATAGTTTGGGGTATCATGTTCTGAGCCCTAACACCACTCATACCTAGGACTTGGCTCAAGGCTTTGCTCATTGACATATAGTAGTAGAACTTACCTGAGAAGAATGCTATGGCCTGGTGGAGATGTTATCACTGACACATGCCAGTGTGTAGATCAGCTTTTAGGGACCATTGATTGGTATTTTCTCTAGAGATAAAAGGCTAATAAACTGTCCTGGTAATTGGAATGGGTGCTACTAGCAATAGACCTATCCTATTTCAGCATGGGCTTGTCTGAAGGGAGTATTTGAAGAGAGAGAGTACAATAAGCAGACTCCGGTTTTTCCTCGGCAGACTTTCACATTTGGCCTTATTTTTTATATACTTATTTATTTATTTATTTATTTATTTATTTTTTGAGGCGGAGTCTGGCTCTCTTGCCCAGGCTGGAGTGCAGTGGCCGGATCTCAGCTCACTGCAAGCTCCGCCTCCCGGGTTCACGCCATTTTCCTGCCTCAGCCTCCCAAGTAGCTGGGACTACAGGCGCCCGCCACTTCGCCCGGCTAGTTTTTTGTATTTTTTAGTAGAGATGGGGTTTCATTGTGTTAGCCAGGATGGTCTCGATCTCCTGACCTCGTGATCCGCCCGTCTCGGCCTCCCAAAGTGCTGGGATTACAGGCTTGAGCCACCGCGCCTGGCCTATATACTTATTTAAATGAATGCAAAAAACGATATCAAAACCCAACTTCGGTTTTTGTGAACCTAGCTTGATTTGGAGCTCAATTTCTATCAGCAGGATCTGTTTCTTCTGGATTGAGCCTCTATGTGGTAGACCACGGCAATTTCAAACTCATCCGGTTCCTGTAAGTTAGTACAGGTGATCAAGGGGCTAAAATACATGTGTTGGGTTATACTAGATTCCCCCTGAAACCCAGCTATAGAGGCAGATTAACCTCAATAATTGGGCTAAGAATGGGGATGTTATAGTTCTAGAAAGGGAAAGACAGCTTAGATGTTTGGCATTAGAAACATTAGATGACTATCTGCAGTGAGTATGTGTTGACTGAATTTCTCCACTTGAAATATATCTACAGTGAACAAATGTAACAAAACTTGAGGGAAGGTCTTGTCTCAAAGAAGACTAAAGAAAGATCATATCTCATACTGCAAACTCGATGACATAATGTTTTGAACCATACAGTAAGAAGGCACTAGGCATTGACCCAGCTTGCCTAAGCAAGAAGAAATTCTGAAAGATCTCTTTCACCAGCAAGTTGGAGAAATGAGAATTGGGGATGAGAGAACAAATGGGTAGATCCCCACATAGGGCCCATGTTTCCTCAAGGAACAGCCATTCTTCACTTCTAACTGGTGGGTGGAATGGGGTCAAGATCTGAGAATGAGATTCCATAGCAGGAAATTCCCAAGAGGATAACATAGGAATGACCAGACACAGTGGCTCACAGCTGTAATCTCAGCACTTTGGGAGGCCGAGGCGGGCGGATCACGAGGTCAGGAGTACGAGACCAGCCTGACCAACATGGTGAAACCCCGTCTCTACTAAAAATACAAGAATTAGCTGGGCATGGTGGCACGTGCCTGTGATCCCAGCTACTCAGGAGGCTGAGGCAGGATAATCACTTGAACCCAGGAGGTGGAGGTTGCAGTGAGCCAAGATCGTGCCACTGCACCCCAGCCTGGATGACAAAACAAGACTCCGTCTCAAAACAAAACCTAGGAACCAACTTTGCTACTGGAATCCAAAGTCAAATATACAAAGAAAAATACATTATTATGAACAGAGGGCGGAGGGCCTTGGGCCATAGAACATTAGACGATTAGACTGATTTGTTTTCTCAACAGGGAAGTTGATTCATTCCAAGATTGGGGATTATTCTAACAAGCCTGGTCAGCTGGCCATCTTAAAATAATGGTTAATACCTTTTTTTTTTCTTTTTTGCACTTCCTACATGCCCAGCACTGTTCTAAGCCCTAAGCCCTTTACCTCCATCTACTCATTTACGTTCTCACAACAACCTGTGAGGTAGATACTATTGAAATTTTTGTTCTACAGATAAGGAATACGAGGTACAGAGTTTAAATGACTTAAAGTCACACTGCTGCTGAGTGTTAGAGTTGGAATTCAAACCCAGATGACAAGCTGGCAACTGAATCCACGAGTTTCACCTAGATCTAGACGATGCCTTATTGCCTTTCTATACTACATTACAAGGAAAGTATGCAAAAACAAAGTTCTTAAAGATTCTCAACAAATTTGAATTTCTATAATATAATTTGGGTTTTGTGTTTCTGTAGAAGTATAATGATTAAGAAAAAGAACTATATTGTCTTGAAAGCAGAGGAGGACTATGCTTTGTCTGGATCCTTAGGAAATAGCCTCACTAAAATGGCAAAAGAGCTACAGATCTCAGGGAAACAGTGAGCAGAGTATGAGGTGTTTAGAACCCCAGTGGCTCATTGAGAACAGTCACTAGGGATGTAGACTGCAGTCATCACCCAGGTCTTTTTGGAATGGTGTGTGAGAGGGCTATTAATTTGTGCATAAGTTTTTAATCTGTTTGAGCAAATATAAAAGCCTTAGGCTGAGCATGGTGACTTAATGCCTGTAATCCTAGCACTTTGGAAGACTGAGGAGGCCAGGAGTTCAAGACCAGCCTGGGCAACAAAGCCAGACCCCATCTCTAAAAAGAATTTAATTTGCCAGGCATGGTGGTACGTGCCTATAGTCCCAACTACTTGCAAGACAGAGGTGGAAGAATCGCTTGAGCTCAGCAGTGAGCTCCAGCCCTAGGTGACAAAGACCCTATCTCTTTAAAGCAAAACAAAAAAGAAACTTAATTTTTGAAGTTTACTATATACCCACCTAGGGATATTTTGGAGCTGATACTAATATATTAGCTCACATTTTAAAGTTGATGCATTATGAAAATTCCACTTGAGCTGATTAATAATACATATAAAAGGCAAACTGAGCTACCTTAGTATACTTGCTTTTTTATGCATTATGTTTAAGATGATGTGTCATAACAATGAAATAATTTTTAAACATTTAAAATCTTCCTAATGTGGAAATAAAGCACAAGATACACAGATAAGATACTTTCTTAAGTGGGAAAATATAGGCACAAATGTAAGTAACACTGCTTGAAATGGAATCCAAATGGGGTCACTCATGTATTC